CTCAAAGCTCTCTGCCCCACACTCATTACTTCTTAAGACTGATTTATACTTCTGTGTAGAGAGATCTGCGTGACCCATGGCGGAAACACTAGATTGCAGTGAGGTTATGTTCCTCTGTGTCGAGTTTTTTTGCTGGTGTTTTGTTTTTTTCTGAAAGCTACCTTAATATACATGTAGCTAAAACGCACTCATTTTGAGGCTGGAACCAGCAGACGTCCAACAACTTTAATCATAAGATAAACACAAAACAAAAGTTCCCATCGGAAGCTCCTTCATGGGACTCCACACTTGTAATCACTCGCTCCAACGGGTTTGCGTGGCTCTCAGTCCCGCCCTACACTCATCAGTGCTACCAAGCTGACCAATCACAGAGCTTGCGCAATGGGTTGTTGTGACGTGTTGTTAAATTTTTTGAGAGGTGCGCGTTTGAAGCGACTGCCACGGCGAGGGCTATGCAACCACGCACAGGCTTTTTCGGGGCATACACATGCACTTGAGGCAGAAGTATAAATCAACTTTTAGCTAACCAATCTTATGCTATGCATTATCACGACATGTAGTTACAGATTTTAAGAGATGTGCATCAGAAGAAGGCGAAGAGTATACAACTGGGCAAAGAATATGCCAGACCATTAGTATGAACTCGATACAAAAGTATAAATTGACCTTTAAAGAACATTTTTTCAAGAAGCCTTTTATATGTTTTTTTTTCTAGAAAAGTTCAATTTTGATTTCCAAAATGTATATTAATTGGACATCGATGTTTATGCAAAAAAAACATTTTTACTTGGGCACAACTCATAGAAGAAACTGTTTTAGAATTCTAGAGATAGTTCTATATGACTGCTTGGACTAAAACAATTTTTGGGGTTTTGCAGGTCGTTTTGCTGTGCGTGACATGCGTCAGACGGTTGCGGTGGGAGTGATTAAAGGAGTGGAGAAGAAGACCGCGACAAGCGGAAAGGTTACCAAATCTGCCCAGAAAGCCCAGAAGGCCAAATGAATGTTGTGTTTGACTGCCAACTCCAGAGACACATATGGAAAAGCAGAGGTCATTCAGCTCTTCAATCCTATTGGCTGTTTAGGTTCCATAGTCAGAGACTGCTTAATAGTTCCAATGCATCGCAAAAGTATCAGAAGGAAAAAAAATCAATATCAAAAGCAGTCCTTTAGATAACTCTAATTTGTATGTAAACTCATAAGTCTTCAATCCATGCATTGTTCAATAGTGTTTTAATAGTTGTGCTCTTCTTCGACGATGGCTGTCCAAACCATATGTGATTTTTAAAATCTTGAGAGGTCTGACCTCTCCTTCTCTGGAGTGCAGTTTTAGCCTGGTTCTCACAATGTTGTCTTCGCTTGTTTTAGTGCTTGTTTGCAGAAAACCATGTGTTCAGTATCCACTGGTGGTGAGCTACTTAAAACAACACTATTTAGTAGACTTTGAGAACCTGTATGTTTAGCTTTGCAGAACAAAGAAAATGTAAAAAAAAAAAAATTAAGCTCTTTATGGGCCCATTTCTGGGTTCATGCAATCTTCGGTGCACTGACAGCTTTATGTTTAGCACTTTGACTGGCGTAGGCTAACCCTGCACAAGCACTTGTTGACTTTAATTGGCATTAGCTACTGCACCTTACTCTTAAAACTAAAAGCTTTCATGTCATATTAAAGATGTCTCAACCATAATCATGTTGTTTGTGTTTATTTCACTTTTGAATATGATAATGCGTAAAGATATGTACTGTATGACCACATTCAAAATTCATACAAATACTGAATGTTTTTTTCCAAAAGTTTAAGTATTTGGATTTTAAGAAGCCAATGTGTAGCCTACTTAAAACACTTTAGAGGATTAGTTTAGCCAAAACTGAATATTCTGTTATTCACACTCATATTGTTCCAAACCCTGAGATATTCATTAAAGATATTTTAGAAAAAAAGCTCCCTCATCTTCTATAGACCGCAGCGGTCCAGAGATTAGAAAATTACAGAAAAGTAACCCAAAACATTGTCAAAATATTCCAAATTGTCATGCAAATCTAAAAAAAATCACTTAACAGCAAACAAAAACTTTGCTTACCCATGGCACATTTACTATTGCCAATATGACATGAGGGTGAGTTGTGGATACTCATCCCGAAGCCCCTAGAGACTACGCAGCGCCATTGATGCGATACAAGACCAGTGAAGAGATGATGCAAAGGTATCTATAATCCAGGACCAGGCCGTATCCTGAGCTGATGCTGTGGTGGTCATGGATGAATGGAGTGCATGAGACTGATTCCTGAAAGACCACGATGACAAACAAGTCCCCGCATTGATTCTGTTGGCCAGCCTGATTACCCACACCTGCAGTTCTCCATGATGGACATCCAGCTTCTCCAGCCTCCAGTGCCTAGACTGCAGCTCCTCACTGTAAGTTTGGCTAGGAGAATAATGGTCGTGCCCAACAGAGCCTGGTTTCTCTTAAGTTTTTTTTTTCCCCTTCACTTTGTCAACTTGTAAAGTTTTTTTCCTCGCCACATTAGCCACTGGCTTGCTCAGACTGGGACTTGTGAAGCTGTGCATTGATGGATCTCATCTTCAGTGTTTGGACTCTCAGCAGTGAAATGTAAATGAGACTGAACTGAACTTCAACTCTGAAATCTGGACTTTACTAGAACTATGTTAAGCCGCTGACACAATCTACATTGTAAAGAGCGCTATAGAAATAAACAAACATGAACATGAGTTATTAACCTAACATTTGTGTGAAATAATCCATTAAAAATCATGTACAATTGCAGAATATTGTGTTTAGATTCTATATAAAGTTCCTAAAAAGCCAATATAATCGAGTTTAAAAGCAATAGAAACTGATGGTAGATTAAAACAACTCTGAAACTTTGAAACTAATTTGAAAGCTTTGAAAATGATATGGCAAAGTCTGTTGTGTAACGTAAATGCCTAACCTTTGGTTGAAAACAGTATTAAAGCAACAAATAAACAAAAAAGGGTCAAAATCAAATCACAAACACTTTATATTGTTCAAAAATGTTTTAAATGTGATTGACTTTCAGGTTATTCATTCATTCATTCTCTTTTCGACTTAGTCCCTATGAAGTCGCCACAGCGGAATTAACCACCAACTTATTCAGCATACGTTTTACACAGTGGATGCCCCTCCAACAACAACCCAATACTGGAAACTACCCATACACTTTTGCATTCACACACAACAGCCAATATAGCTTATTCAATTCACCTGTACTGCATATCTTTGTGGGAGGAAACCGGAGCACCTTGAAGAAACTCACGCCAGGAAGAACATGGAAAATCCACACAGAAATGCCAACTAACCCAGGCAGGGCTCGAACCAGCTACTTTTTTTGCTGTGAGACGATTGTGCTGCTACAAACTGCGCAACCGTGACGCCTACCATTAAGTCGTAAATCCTAAAAAAAAAACATCTTCAGTAGATAGAATAAATCGTGACTCTTTTTAGCCACAAGATGTCGCAAGTGAACAGTTCATGAAATGATTAAAGTAATTTGGTGAAGTAGAAACAGGCTAACCGGAATTATGTAGATGTAGTCAACGATCCCAAGACTCACAAATGGGGCCAGCAGAATGCCATAGTTTGGTATTTCAATTTCCTCAAGGTAAAACAATCTATTTCATAGTCATGTGTATCTGTTCTAACTATCATGTAATGAGTTTATGAAATAAGTGATAAGTGAGAGGAGAAGATGATTTAGATTGCTAAAGCAGGTCAGCTTTATAGAACAGCGGACCAATAAGCAAGGTAAGCAGCTGCTAAGCAGCCGCTCAAGGCCCCAGGAAATTATGGGACCCCAACCAATGCCAGAAATTGCCTAAATTAATAGCATAAGTCAAATTTTCAATCATATGTAGTAACAACTGTCCATAGCCCTTTAGATTTTAACAGTACTAATTTTCAAAACCGGGGGCCCCCATGAATAGTGGAATGTTCCTTCTGTACTGCACATGCAAATAAAATCTAATCACAAATACCGTATGGCTAATGAACCGTACATATAGTTAGTTTGTGAACTTGATTTTTTTTTAGAATTGTGAATTTATTGTATTTAATTTTACATTTAGATAAAAGATAAAGCTTCCATATAATTAACAACAACAAAATCTACAGAGGAAAAAAATATCTAGAAAGAGAGTGTTTTGAGTTTTAATGCTAGGGCCCCCAAATCAATAAGTCCACCCCTAGAGATGTGTACAGAAAGGATTTGTAAGTTGCTCATGTGTAGGCTCATAGTGAAGTTCTCTTAATTTCCAAAATTATATTAGCATTAAGCACTTTCTTAAATGTCTTACAACAGGGGTGTCCAAACTCAGTCATTGAGGGTCCGGTATCCTGCATATTTTAATTCCAACCCCAATTAAACACACTTGAACCAGCTAATCAAACTCTTTTTAGCTGTACTAGAAACTTCCAGGCAGGTGTGTTGAAGGACAAATGAGCTAAACCATACAGGACACCGGCCCTCCAGAACTGAGTTTGGACACCCCCGTCTTAAAAAATATAAGCTGGACAAGGCAATGTTTCGTTAGTGTTATGTGCATGAGACACTACAAAGATCTTTATCATTCTTATTGTTTACACTATAGTCTATTATTATTTGTATATAGTTGCTTAGGCTCAGTTAATTTAATAAACTGTCTGTAATAAGTTCTTTATTAACCATCAATAAAAATGCAATAATTAGTCTATAATGCTTAGTGATAGTTGTGAAACAAAGATATGTAGGGACTTGGGGCAAAAACGGAGTAAAAATAAGCAAGAGGCCCCAGAACCCCTGGTAAACACCAAGCAATTTAATTTTAATTTAAAGTACTTTCAGCAATAGACATACTAATAGCCCTCGTCTACACATTTTTGTCCACAAACTACAAAACACAAGGAAACCCTATAAATATGTGTGGTATAACATTTTTAAAGTCACGAAATAAATATGTCATGACAGAGGAAGTGAATAATTTCGAGGCTGGCACGGCACCATCAGTATCATGACGTCACTCTTCCTTAAAAGCACAACCGCGCTCGCCAGCTCGTGAACACACCTGCCATCATGAGCAGCCACAGGAGACCAGGCTGTGTTTCCCCGACGAGACCTGATGAACAACCCAAAGCCAAAGCTCGAGCAAAGACAAGTGGAAAGAATGAAGCGCAGAAAAAGGACAAAGACGTTTATGTTTGTGAAAGTGAAGCCAAACTTCAAGAAACTCCATCACTAAAACGGGGACGGAGTAAAAAGCAGAAAGATGATGCTTCAAAAGGAGATTGCAAGTCTCTGGACAACTCCGAGAGCAAGTCTGAAGAAAAGCACGGTGACATCTCTAAAGCAGGCTCTGTTCATAAAAAAACAGGCGAGAATGACAGACAAGACAGTGCAAAAGACAAACTAAAGAGTAAAAGAAAGACAGCTCCTCTTGACTGTGAAAGTGAAGGCAAAAATCAGCAGACCGCCAATGGGAAGTCAGGCGAAAAAACAGCACTGAAACGACCGAGCAAAAAGGAGAAAGATCATCCAAATCTTGATAGAGAAGCAACACCGGAAAATTCTGAAAGCAAATTAGAGCAAAAACCTATAGCATCATCTAGTAGGAATAAATCTGCTCCTAAAAAAGGCTTCCCTGGAGCTAAAAACGCATGTGACGCTTCTCCAGCGGTCAGCGCACGCAGCCCTGACTGCAAACTGAAAAGCACGGAAAAAACTGCAGTTAAAGACGCACTGGGAGACGTTCTTAAAGCAACTCTTGACAAATTAACGATCAAAAAATCCGAACGATCTAAAGCATCCAGATGTGTTAATGAAATCACGGAGAAAGTCATTGCACACCTGAAACAAGACACGACCTGGTGTGCAGATATCGAGCGTTTACGAACGGGAAGTTATTACGAAAACCTTAAAGTAAGTGATACATGATACAAGGTGATACACAATTCACATTTAGTAAACATTTAGTCGTTTAGGTTAAAGAGATTAACATTGGCTATACAAAACAGAATAAGACCTATAAACACTGATAACTTTAGGTGATTTCAGTAAATATCAGAATAATCATAACTGAATATTGATTTGCATCAGAGAATGCCCAAACGATGTAATAAACTCATCACGTGATAAAAATATAACTACAGGTATAACCAGATATTCAACATGAGAATGTCCACATTCATGTGTGTGGAATATCACAATAGCGTTGCAGTTTTTGGCAGATAAGTTGTAAATATTTTTCCCAGAATATGCATGTCTTTATGCTACAAATTTAATGGTTTTGATATTTCTTATCTTTGAGATTCAGGTAACTGCTCATAAAAGGCTTTTAAAAGATCAAAACAATCAACACTAGCTGTAACTTTGCTACATTTTAGATTTGTGAACCAGATGAATTTGACGTGATGCTGACTGTTCCTGTGGAGAGAGTGGACATTCAGAATTTCGATGAGGCTGGGGCATTTTATAGTATTGCACTGAAACGCCACCCAAACAAACATCCACTGGACAAATTCCTAAATGAAGACAAGACCATTCAGGCCAGTGAAATGCTGAGTGAATTCAGAGATGGTGTTAAGAAAGCTGTGGAGAAGGCTACAGACCTCCCATGTAGGTTGAAACTATTTTTATTATCCTTATTCACATTATCTGTTAACCGTAATAACCTAATAACGTCATGTTTGTTTGAATTATAACCTATTTTTATGTAAATGATTTCAAATAAAATTTGGGATAATGTGGAAAGACTTAGAAACTATTACATGGGTGTAAGAGAGGCAGCTCTATGTACAACAAACTCACATTAGGATTCGTCCTTGTTCAATTTCAGCAGTTTTTCTTAAAAGGTAAAAAAAAAAATAAATAAATAAATACTTGAGCTCATTTAAAACAGAGTTACAAGTATCTTTTATTACCCTCAAACTTGTGCTGGTCAACATAGGTACTATTCATTCTAGGGCTGTGTGATTTGGGGAAAAATACCTAATTGCAATTTTTTTTTGACAAATATTGCAATAATGATATAACATTTAAGGTACAGCTTGGAACTGCAAAATATGCGTGAGATGGAAGTCTACAATTCCTATCCAGCATTTGGATGAGGTTTCAAATCCCTCTTTGGCCACTGCATTAAAAGGCACTATGTCTTTAGCGAAGTAGTGAGTTGTTATGGTGTCAGTTATCTCCTGGTGCCTTCATGATGTTGTTCTATATGGTGTAACAGCCGCAAACAACTCTTAAATTGAACTTTGCTGTTGCTTGCTACTAGATCGAGTGTCACTGGCAATACTTTCAGTTGACTTTTTAGCAAGAAACTCCTCATATAGCTGCTTATATGCTTTTTGTAAGACTGTAACACACACACGGCAGTCACACATTTGCTCTGGGTGGGGGAAATGAAAGAATACAAATATATTCCATATTGCAGTCTCTCGCAATTAGGTAATCGCAATGTTTTAAATTGCGATTGGATTTCGATTAAATCGCACAGCCCTAAGTTATTCCTTCCGTTTATTTTCCAACTGGGGGACAAGATGCTGTGTTAACACATTGTGGATGAATTAAGTGGTACAAGAGCAATTAAAAAAAAAAAAAAAAAAGTTTGATTTGATATGAAAGATTTGGTAGATACGATAAGTCTATATTTGGAATCTATCAGGTAAATAGGTAGTTTGCCTCATACCAATGAACTAACCATTAGTAACAGGGTGCGGTTGTCTGACCTTCCCTCACTCACATCCAGACTATGGTCAGATGGTTCACTATGCTGACAGCACGTTTCCACATCAGGTGTGTTCAGATCTAAAAAAGCCCTTTCTATATGGCTTTGCAAACAGTATAATAGTCGAGGTAATACTGCTTCACATGGACAAAAAAGTAAAGCTGGATTATAATTGAAACATTTTCTATCTAAGAATCAATCCAGAATATTCTAACTTACAGGATCTAAAAACACATGGGTATAACTACTTGCATAGCTTGGGTGATGTTGCTTATTTAGACTTACAGTGTCATCAGTATGTGCTCATAGAAGAAAAACTAAGCAATATTTATGTGCCTAAATAAAAAGTCCTGCAAGCAAGACCATTGCTCCCACAATCTATTTTCTTTACATAATGCCTCCATGTCATAGACAAAATCAGCTTGATTGCTTCACATTAATCATCATTCATGACATTAAACAAAACCTTTGTATGCTTTTTTATAGACAAAATTAAAATTCAGAGAAAAAAGCCAAAGTGTCCTGCAGTGACACTAGAAGTGACAGAAGGTAGGAAGAACATTTCTGTCGACTTTGTTCTTGGTCTTAAAGTTCACCGTGCAAGCTGGCCAGAATTAACAAAGGATGGCTTCAGAGTAGAACACTGGCTTGGTAGAAAAGTGAAATCTACTATGAAACGTCAGCCATTCTACTTGGTGCCTAAATATGAGGGGATTGGAAATGCAGAGCATGATGGAGTTGTTGCAAGAGGTATACTATGCCCACAATCTGTAATTTACATTACATTATGCTATATTAATGGAGCAAGTGCACAAAAGAACATCATCAAATAGTTTGCACATTGTTCTCTATGCAGACTCCTGGCGAATTTCTTTTTCACACATCGAAAAAGAAATTCTGAAATCACATGGCCACACCAAGACCTGCTGTGAGGGACGTGAACAGAAATGTTGCCGGTAATTATTCTGTTCTTTTCATCTATTAAGTTTTGATATGGTTAGCAAAAAAAACTTTACTGTACTGCACTAAATACTTTAGTTTGGTGCAGAAATTGTCCATTGTGTCAGTTCTTATCTACTTCCATTAAAATACCCATCTACATAAAGAAACCATAAACACTTAAAATAATTCTAATAGTACACTGAAACAAACACGTTCAAGTCACTCAACAACTCATTAAAGCACAAACTCTGAATCCTTTAAACTTCTTCCACCCTTTCAGGAAAGAGTGTCTAAAACTTCTGAAGTATCTTCTACAACAGCTCAAAAATGATGAGTCCAAATCCAATAAGATGTCCAGCTTCTGCTCTTATCATGCAAAGACAACCCTGCTCCAAGCTTGTGCTTCAAGAGGAACTGACATCGAGTGGGCTTACAGTGAGCTGGCCAACTGTTTTCAGCAGCTTCTGGAAGATTTTGTCAAACACCTGAAAAATCATCAACTACCAAACTTCTTCATTCCATCCCACAACCTCTTACATCATGTCTCTACAAGCAACTGTGATTTCCTGGCGAAAGAAATTGAATTTCAACTGAACAATACATTTCCTATATTCAGTTAAAAGGCACCTATAATGCAAAATCCAGGTGTTTGAACAGAAATGTGTTAAAATTGTTAAAACTGAGATTAAAGGATTTATCTATTTCTGTGAACCAAATTTAAGTTGTTGTGGCAAACTGTATTTTTATAGAATTTTGAACAAATTTCAAAATAAATAAATGGAATATGGGGCTAAAACTTGCGTTGTCTAACAGATATTTGATTTCTATTAATTATGCATTATTTATGTACATGTTGTGCTTTTACCTTGAAGATCAAATGTAGTGTAATACAATAAACATCCTTAAAAAAATGGGTTTTACAGGCTTTTATTTGATGTATTAAACTGAACAACATGGCTACATCACCTACATTTAGGCTTGTTTTACCCAATTTCAATGTAGATAATGTTACTGAACTAGGAAAAAAAATCTTTTAACATTAAAGAAACATCAAGCATAAATGAATCATTTTACAAAACGTAAATAGTCAATTACAATGACTTTATAGGCCTCTCTACAAATAAGAGGATTAACACTTTAAAAGCTTATGGACCCATTGAGTACAGTGGCATCAACCTGAAAGATACAATAAAAAAATAAATACTACAGTAACAGATACAATACACATCCCTTTAAGAATCATCTGGTGAACCAAAAAAAAATATATATATATATATATATATATATATATATATATATATATATATATATATATATATATATTACCTTCCAATAGATCAGAATGGCAGGTCTGAGCCTCCTCTATAACCACCTCTTCGTCCTCCTCCTCCTCCGCCGCCGCCACCTCCTCTTCCACCCCCACCTCCTCCCCATCCTCCTCCTCTTCCACCCCCTCCCCCTCCTCCTCCTCTTCCGCTCCTGGGTCCAAACATTTCTTTCTCCCTCCGGTGTTTTTCATAACGCTCAGCCATTAGTACCAGTTCTTCTGGTACATCCTAAAAAAAAAGGGAAAAATGCTTTCCTTTATACAGATTCTCTGGAAAAAAATCCTAAGTATCATGTTGTTTAAGCTCGTTTAGCATAAGTAATGTAAGTGCAAGTAAACATATATAGCTATGGTACATAAAAAAACACATTTGTTTTAATAACTTCTAAATGGCAGATTTACTGTTGCAGTGAAGCTCTGGAAAGTTTGTTTAAATCCCCTGTTAAGTTTGGGGAGTTTCACTACCATCCAAAATAAAAGTAAGAAATACACCTTCAAATGTACAGTAATTTTTGCAATCAATTGTTCTGCAATATTATTGATGAACCAAAAAAAGAGTGAAACCAAGTTTCTGAAACTTGGGACACCAAAACGTTGGGTATTAACAGACAAAAAAAAATGTTTCACTTCCATATAAAAAAAAAAACCAACACAAATATTATTAAATTACAAAAGTCAGTCCAAGGCATTTAAAAAATGTGGAAACATCATTCAAAAGCCTTTAATGGCATGGCTATTCCTTAAAACTGCGCCTACGCATTTCGTCAAACACTTGCCTTCATCAGGGTAACAGATCATGTGCGTCTGAAATTTCTTTTAAACACTATGGTCTCGTGACTCTTTAGAATATCTAAACAATACTAAATTAATATATTGAACAAAAGGTCAACTCAACATTCATTATAAATTCAGTATTATAAGAGGAAAGAAAAAAAAAAGAGCAAAAGAAAAAAAAAAAGCGCATTATACAAAAAAATCTTTAAATAATACATCATGAATGAAAGTCACGAGACCATAGCGTTCAAAAAAAACTCCAGACTCACCTGATCTCTGCTACCTTGATGAAGGCAAGTGTTTGCCGAAATGCATAGGCGCCATTTTAAGAAATACAGTAGCCATGTTAATAAAGGCTTTTTAGCAATTTTTCCACATTTTTCGAGTGTCTTGGAATGACTTTTGCTCTTTATTCTTTTTTTGTGATTAAAAAGGAACTTGTGTCCCGCTTAATCAAATTTCCATCAGTAATAAAACATAAATTCCTACTTGAAATATGTAGTAAGCACCCTTTCTGAGGCAATTTTTTTTTTAGACTTGCTTAGCTCTATAGCTCTCAGTTGTTTTTCGAGCATCTCGGCAATGGCGTCATGAAGGCGTTTGTCATCTTTAGGTCGTTTTTTGGAGGGCGAGTTTAGCAATTCTTGCTTGGATGCGATCTCTGATGCCTTTCAAGCAAAACAAATTCTTAAAACCTCAGTTTAAATCTCCGTAGGAATATTTATAAAGGAAAAGGACATCTGAAGCGGAGCACGTATCACTAAGCAGCCATCACTGTCCATTGCGCATGCGCATACTTTTGCTGTTTATTCTGATGAATTCCTTATTCATTCCTTATATAAATAAACTAATCTGATACATGTTGTATCAGATTGATTTTTTTCTGTCTGTATTACTCCACAACATTCTCATAACAAACACACAATACAATTTGTAAGAATTTCCATTTATAACTAGAAGGGCCGGAGGTAGAGAGTTGCATAGCAGAGAGTGACAGACATAATGGAGGGAGTGAATGCCTGCAGTTGTTTACCTGACCAGATCTCTCCAGGATGGTGATTAGCTCAGCTGCTACTCTCCAATCCTCTCTAGTCACCAGGGTTACAGATTCACCAGACCTCCTGGTTCAAGACAGAAACTCATTTTACATAAAAAGCCTGAATTATTTTATTGTTATCAAAATTCTTATAGTTTCTGATAATTTAGTCACACCCTGGTTGACTCACCCTGCACGACCTGTTCTCCCAACACGGTGCACATACTCCTCCACATTCCTCGGGAAATCATAGTTGAACACATGCGTGATGTCATGCACATCTAGCCCCCTGGAGGCCAGGTCAGTGGCCACCAGAATACGCACACGACCTTCAACAGCAGCCAGACAGGTAGATGGAAACATTAGATCGTTTTTTTTTTTAGGTTTTTGAGGTTTTGGATTGTATGCATGGCAATGACCTAGGCGCATACACTTTTGTTTTGAGAAAGAGAGAGTTGTTCATGTTCTGACAACAGAAAACTGAAGTTTTAATGCAGGATCCCACTATAAACAGATTAGCCAAGCACATAATCATGTAGATAGACAATAGCTTCTTAATTATTTTGGCATTGTTGCAATGAAAATGTATTTAATATATATTTTAATTAAAAGTGAGATTCCTCAATTAAAAACATACAAATAATCTTAAAATGCAAATTCAAATTATTTGAAAAAAAGAAGAAAAAAAAACACCCATCTCTAGGTTTAAGGCATATGAACTGCAATGCACCAAAACAATCAGTGCAACAACATAATAAAACAATGCATTTCTTCTCTTAGTGATAATAAAATATTTGAAAAAAAAAAACAACTTTATTTTCGGTTGTTTGTTGAATTTTTTTAAAACACATAGCTTGAAACACTTTTTGGATTAAAAGCAATTTCAGTTTTACTTCCTAAAAACAAAGACCAACTATGGGTTAAACAAACAAATCAAAACAAACTATTGCTTCCAGCCGACATAAACTGCTGAGTTTCTAAATATTTATCTTATTGTATGTGTTCGGACAAACTGTTCTGATGAAAGCAAAATGCAGTGGTAATACACAAGCGCTGGCTTTTGAATAGCTGCTATTCCTGCCAGATATGGTATGAAAGGTATGAGAGAGTTGCATTTTCTGAGAAAAACTACAGATCATGGGTTTACAGTGCGTCAGATATGATGTGCATTAGGGTTGGACTGGTATACTGGTACTGTGGTAGTATCGCGATACTATGGCTCCAAAAGACTGGTGGGGCCACTGTAGTTTGTAAATGGCAGTATCGTCATTAATGCTCTGTCCACACTAGATAATGTTGTACGTTGAAAGTCACTGAAATGCTCACGTTTGTGTAACATTAAACCATTTTATAGTAGCCTATTGTAGGGATGGGTATTGTTAAGGTTTTAATAACATTACACCTTTATCGATACCACTTACTGGTTCGGTACTTTAGCAGTTCTCTTAATGGTGCTTTATGTAGCATTTTATGGAGAAAAAAAATATTTAATTGAATAAAATAAACTTACTTTATTTTATTGTTAAGCTTTGAATGTAAAATAAAACTAAATCAATAATTGTAAAACAAAATATAACAAAACATTTCCTGTAAAAACAAAAATGCACAATAGTTTAAAGGAAAATTACTATTAGCTGTTTTTAACCATTCTTCTGGAGAAAAATCAACATGCAAGCCTTTTCTGGCACAAGTCGGGATATTGTTTGGTTTATTGTGCTCCCTGCCATTGAAAATATCTTCTTTAAGTTGCAAAATGCAGTTAAACGAGAAAATGTTTGTTATTTTTCATTAACGCATTCACATAAATGAGTTGAGTGTTTTGGGAGTTAACTGTTTTAATATAGTTTTGAAGCATCTTGCAATGTAAAAATAAGCATTTTTAAAAATAAGTTCTTAAGCATAGTTTATTATTAGGCTATTCTGTAAATACGGCTGATGTAAAAGCATTTTTAATGCTTAAGATTTATTTAACCTACTGCAGAAAAAAAATACTGTTTTCATTGTAATCGAATGTGTGCGTTTATTCAACTATTAATATTATACTAATTAAGTGAATTACTGCTGGCAAAAGGATGTGAATGATGTAACGTTACCATTAGTAGCTAGGCTGTCAAACACTTTTAATTACTTTTTACTGCAGATAATGCACTTTTAAATGGTACTTTCACTTAGCCAGATTGCTTGTGTTTCTGTTATACAAGAAAACAACTTGTTGCGTTTGTTGCAACGGGCATTGTCGCAGTCCACTCGAGAAAAACAACCTGTTTTGTTCACTCCGCAAGCTTACAAGTTGTGTGTGCACGAGTCTGTGTCGCAAGCTATGTGTTTGTGCGAGCCTCCGCTGAGTGCGCACACACAACCAAGAACAGTAAAGGCTTTTATACTTGACACGCTCGCCAGAAACACAAGAATTTCTCATGTGAGATTGCCAACTATGCAGACGAATATCAAATATTACAAATTAGAATAGGTTGGTCAGTTCAATAATGCTACCGCAAGTAATGTTTTTTCAGCAATAATTCTCCAGTATCGATAGCAGAACCGTTAATGTCAGAGCTTATCGATACTTCTGTCTTCTGTGCATTCACTGATATAACACAGGATTGTGAGGGTAACTGAAACACTCGGTCAGTCTGTTCAGTGCATCAAATTTACTCTAAGCCACAATCACTGGCGAGTGAAATTGAATAATTCATCCCCAAGTTTAAAGTCATGTGAGTGATTTTCTTCCATTCTAGAGGGTTGCTGATTAAGCGGTTAGTCTTTTAATACACAGCTTGCAAAGTGAGATTCTGAAAAAGCTGCAAGCAGAATGGCTAGGGAAAAGTATTAACAGTATTAAATTATAAAATTTCATCTGTTAGAGATTTTGAATTTTGGTTTGCATTTCTTTTCATTTAATCACCCAGTCCTAATTAAGTATGTATTTTTGGTGTCAGTCATGGTTAAAAACAAAAGCAGTAAGCAGTTCATCACAGCACTGGCTTAACTTATTTGAGGCTACCAATTTGTCAGCATTAGCCAGCAATTTCATTTGGTGCTGCTATTGGCACAAAAACTACACGTCACCATTGTATTTGCTGCTTATTAAAATACTGTACCATCTTTAAAGTCCTGCAGGGCCT